TGTGGTTCTGTGCATGTGGTTCTGTGGTTCTGTGGTTCTGTGGTTCTGTGGTTCTGTGGTTCTGTGGTTCTGTGCATGTGGTTCTGTGGTTCTGTGGTTCTGTGGTCCTGTGGTTATGTGGTTCTGTGCATGTGGTTCTGTGGTTCTGTGGTTCTGTGCATGTGGTTCTGTGGTTATGTGGTTCTGTGCATGTGGTTCTGTGGTTCTGTGGTTCTGTGCATGTGGTTCTGTGGTTATGTGGTTCTGTGCATGTGGTTCTGTGGTTCTGTGGTTCTGTGGTTCTGTGGTTCTACCATCAACCAGCTGATTTAGGTTAGAAATGTCTCTACGATAAGAAGTACTTTATTGATCCTGATGTTTGCAGCGTCATAAAAAGACAAAGCGTTCGAGAAATGAAAAGAGAATCCAAACAGAAATAAAATATCATGAAAGTATCCATGAAGCACATTTACAATAAACCACATCTAAAGCAGGATATGAAATATACATTAGTGTGTGACGAGTGGAATATGAAATGTCCCAGATGCTGAGGTACGTACTGATGATGTCCTTGGCCTCGTGTTTCCCGGGGACCTCCGCCGGCTCTCCGAAGCCGACCTTGTTGACGGCGGTGACGCGGCACTGGTACTGAGCCCGGTGCTCCAGGTTCTGGATGGTGTAGGCGGTGTCATGCAGGTTCCTGGGCACGTTGCAGCGCACCCAGTCCTTGGCCTCGCCCTTCCTGCTCTCCACCAAGTACCCGAGGACGGGGCTTCCCCCGTTGCTGGAGGGCTCCGTCCACGAGAGGCTGATGGTGCTGTTGGTGGTGTTGGTCATGGTGGGGTTCACCACGGGGCCGGGGGGAGCTGCAGCACATCCACAGGTTAGTTTGTACACGGAGAAACATGTGGTACAGCACTACGCCTTTATATATATATAAATATATATATATTTATATATATACAGGCTTGGGGATTAACGGGTTACATGTAACAAGATAACGTCATCAGGACAATAAAAGAAGGTAACTGTATTCGATTACATTCCAAAAATGTAGGTGGACGTACTGAATGATCCTTCTTTATAGTTTAAGTTTAGAATACTTCTTCTTCTTCTTTAATGCAGCAGGTGGAGACCTGATTTATTAAACAGAAATACAATCTGCTTTTGAATGATGTATTTAGCTTTAACAGCATCTGTAAACTATCACTATTACTACAGTTATTGATAAAAACTAGGGCTGTCAAACGTTTAACATTTTTAATCAGATTAATCACAGCTTAAAAATGAATTAATCAGAATAACCACCATTCGAACTATGTCCAAAATATGCCACTTTCTTTATGTATATTGTTGTGGGAATGGAAAGATAAATGAAAGAAGGCGGATATATCCATTTAACATACAGTATGTTTATTATAACGTTCTGTGTGTCAAAATGAAAGACAGCCCACACACCTATCAATCATCAAACCGTGGGGTCTTATTTCATTACGTGTTGATTTCTATCGACACAGGGGGGTGGGGTGTGGGGGGGGGGTGAGACCGATACTGTCGTCCGGTGATCTAACCGCCTTCTGGAAAAGCTTCACAAGTACGTCGGTACGCAAATGCGCTTTGTGACACAAGAGACGGTACGCATTTCAGATTGTTGCCGCACATGCCTACCTGCGTACCAGTTACAGTATGTGCACCTACTACAGCAAAAGTAAGAATAAAAACACTAAGGGAAAAATCATCCTATTGTTATTTATTTTCTCGTGTTTTTATTGGCACAGCATTTGATATTGAGGCAATCCAAAAGTAACGGAAAGTAATCAGGTTACTTTATAAATCGACATGTAACTGGTTATGAGTGTAAGTATTTAAAGGACTCACTGATGGGGTTCTGTGCGGTGGTGGTGGCGGACGGCTCGCTGGGCTTGCCCTGCCCGGCCTCATTGACGGCGCTGACCCTGAACTCGTACTCGGTGCCCTCGGTCAGGCCGGTGTATTCGATGCTTCGCTCGGTCAGGATCTTCCTGCCCAGCTTGGTCCAGTTCAGGTCCTTGGCCTCCTTCTTCTCCAGCATGTAGCCCACGATGGGGGACTTCCCGTCGTCCGCAGGCTCCTTCCAGCTCACCGTCATGCGGTCGCAGGTCACGTTGGTGACCAAAGGCGCCTCGCAGGGGCCGGGAACATCTGGGGGGACACCACAGGGTTTAGATCCGTAAAGAGGTCCATAATAAGAATGTGTCACCAGTTCTAGAGATGACACAATCCCAGTGAAACTACACCATTCTTCATTACTATATGTTTTATTATTTTTTATTGTTACTGTAGTTTTCTTAAAATAGTTTTCTATCTGCTTTTGAAATGTTTGTTTTACCTTTATGTATGCACCACAACACCAAGTCAAATTACTCGTACGTGTCAAGCTACCTGGTGATGAACCTGTTTCTGATTCTGACACCGGTTCAACACGGTAAAAGAGCCCTCCTTTATTACTGTTGGAAGTTACAGACGCTCACGCTGCTGTATAAATCCTGAGTCCAACTCACTGTAGGGGTTCTTGGCGATGACGGGTCCGGTAACCAGAGGGTCTCCGACCCCCCAGGTGTTCTCGGCCCGGATCCTGAACTGGTACTCCCGGCCCTCGATGAGCTTCCCGACGTCGAGCTCCTTCTCGTCGGCATGGATTTTGGCGCAGACCTGAGCCCAGTTGGCGCGGCTGGTCTCACGTTTATCCACGATGTAGTTGGTGATGATGGCGCCGCCGTCCTTCAGGGGGGGCTGCCAGGATAGCTTGATGTTCAGGGCGAACACCTCCAGGTACTGGGCACTGGCAGGGGGGCCGGGCACGTCTGAAGGCAAACACAACGAGGAAATATCAGCACACAGAGCTAAAACTAAAGTATGATGGAACTGTTATTAGGTTATTAATTAACATTAACATTACTAGGTTAGTAATGTTATTAGTTATTATGTTATTAATGATGGTTGTAAGGGATGATCAGTGTTGTTTTCAGCTCACAATTACTTTATTTTAAAAACGTTTGTATTATTATTTTAATGTTTTATTCTATTTTGTCTTTATTTTTACCGTGTGTAAATCCTGTTTTTAACTCTGGCCCGGTTGCTGCTCTAAATGCCTGATAAATAAAGTTCAATTTGATCTTATCTTAAACTGAACCGTTGTTTGCATGAGATTGACCCCGGTACTGACCCAGGACCACCACGGGGATCTCGGCGCTCTTGGTGCCGCTGGCGTTCTCGGCCACGATGCTGTAGGTTCCTGTGTGCTCCTTGCTGACGGAGGTCATGTCCAGCTGGAAGTGGTTCCTGAGGTGCGTGAGGACCTGGCCCTCGCTGGACTTCAGGCTGTCGTCGCCTCTCTTCCAGGTGACTCGGGGCATGGGCTTCCCGAACACCTGGGCCTCCAGCGTGATGCTAGAGCCCGCCTTCACCTTCACGCCCTTCTCCATCGCGGCACTGAGCTCCACCCTCGGCGGCACTGAGGGCGGGGGAGAAGGATGAGTTTAACAAATATGGTTTAAAGAGGCTGCTGCAAAAAAATGGATTGGCAGAAGAGCGTTCATGTTCAAAGCCCCAACTGACTGGAGTACTTGACCTGCTGCTGTTAGATCTCTTGCATCATTGGGTATGTTTAAATGTGCATTGTTATCTCACTTTCAACTGGTCTGTACTTGTTATTAACGGATATTGATGAAACTGATTTGCTCGACTGTCTCAAATTGTAATGATTGTGTGCATTGCTTGAATTGTAGTTAACAGAAGTCAAGATCTCTACTGTGTTTAGGGTCACTTTGATGGTGGTAAGAAGTAATGATATACAAAATCAATAGAAAATAACAATGACATCAAAAGAATTTATAAAAGTAGACGAAAACTTTACAAACAAAATGGGAAATACATACGTGGTGTTGTGTTCAGTTTTAATGAGCAATGCACAGTTCGATGGACCCACTACCTTGGACAAAGACTAAAGACTGTGGCCAAGTTGTGCCAATTTTTCTCGGGAGGAAAATAATGACAACCTTCAATTCTGCGAGTGCGACGACATATTTAGGACTCCAGGTTGAGTGACATCCCAAGAACCGCTACTGCCCAAATCAGGCCAATTGGTCTCCCAGAGGCTGGGGGGGTCCCCACAAAGGCCGCGGCCTGGACTTGACCATGAATGGCCGGGCAGCTACTCGAAGCGGCTGCAGCTCGAGGAAAGGAGCAGCGTACCTAAAAACGCGTCTGGACTCGGCGGTCAACGCCGCACCCCCGCACGCTCGCACTCGCGCGCTACATCCACTCGCGCGCGCGAAGTCACCCCGGACGGTCCTATCGAACTACAAGTCCCGCTTGTGGAGGTCCATGACCCGTGACCGTCCCCCCGGCCCGTGCAGACTTCCGTTTGTGTTGCTCCTTTATAGTCGTGTGTCTCGATTTTGATTTCATACTACCTTGACAATAATCCAATAATTAATTGTAATTGTAATGATCCAATCATTACAATAATCAATAATACAATAATTACTACCAACATTCCCTACTAGTCACAACAAAAGTCGAGTGTTAATGAAATAAAATTTTTGCAAACATAATAATAAAATTACAAAATAAGATAAAACAGAAATAAAAATGGCACACATTTAGGACAAAAATTGAGACCGGGCCAACGACGAGATTTACGGACTATTTATTTCAAGTTAAACTAGAATAGAATTTGACTTGGCAACAAACGTACTCTAACTGGGGCCATGACTGGGTCCTGGTGGTGCCCCTAGAGCCGCGAGAACCACGGCGACCGCAAGAGCCGGTGCTACGACATCCAAGGACACACGAGGAACGACTGCCTCCAGTACAGGTCGACCTTCACCAAGGACTCCACGCACTCCTGGACCGGGAGCGACCTGAAGTCCGACAGCAGCGGAGAGAAGGTCCACTGAGCCCCGTACCCGAAGGGCTTGTGGACCCGGAGGTCGCACTACGATCTCGGGCGGAAGTGGAAGTGCGGGAAGAGGTAGCGCCGTGACTCGAGGTGGGAGCCGCCGTGACTCCCGCCCCCTCTTCCTACTCAAATTGTTTATACCAAATTTCTCCGACGACGTTTTTTTACCTAACCGTCTTCTCGCAAGTACAAGTTTCGGGGTTGACTGACCTCATGAACTGGACGACGACAATCTAGAGAACGTAGTAACCCATACAAATTTACACGTAACAATAGAGTGAAAGTTGACCAGACATGAACAATAATTGCCTATAACTACTTTGACTAAACGAGCTGACAGAGTTTAACATTACTAACACACGTAACGAACTTAACATCAATTGTCTCAAATAAGTCTCTAGGCACGACTAAGAAGGTAAAAAATTTAACCCAAGATACCATCAGACTCAAGTCGTATCTACGGCCGGCACACAGTCCGCGAGCTGGTAAGAGACGTGTCTGCTCGTGGCCCAGCGACCCGCAGCCTGCCAGAACGAACTTGATCTATACGCTCTTGGTTTAATTTTTATACCTTCTTCTATTCTGCCTTAGAGACTTCTATTTGCTGTAATGTTATTACAGTCTCTACC